AAGCAAAATAAAGGGCCAGCAAAAATTGACACCTGCAGTCTGTGCAAGTCTTATCGATATCAGCTATGAACCCATCTTCTTTATAAAATTAAGGGTCTAAACTCTCGAACCCGTCCCAAAGCCCTTTTAACATGCAATATGTTGCAATGACAACAGACAATGAAGCGTAAATGCTCGCTCGTACACGCCTGCATACAAGCGCACACATTGCAGGAATTTCTTCCAATTTAACAAAATTTAATTGAACTGAACTCAAGCAAACTAATAATAATATCCTTTGTCCTTTCTTGACGTCTCTCAGCAAGTAGCAGTCTTGCATCAACCTTGTGACACATCCCAGTTGAACCATTCTTTATCCATTTCCTCGTAAGGGGTTAAAATTGAATTAGAATACAGTGCGTACTTGTGCAAAATAATTGCTAAAATAATTTCATTCAAAGTTTGTAATTAGAGTATTTCATAACGGAATTGTAATGTGATTATAATGGATGATTAATATTACGAGTCCTTTATTATAACTTACTTAGACGGAGGGAAGTTTATGTTACATTAACAATGTTAAATGACTTAAGGAAGATTTTCTAACATAATTCAATAATTCAATGTAAAGTAAATTTGTGTTAGTTTCATAAAGTTTTGATATCTGAATTTTGATGTTCAGTTTATCTTTTATATTATATTACACACATGTATGTCTGTATTTTAACTTTCGCAAATTGTCTTAAAATTTGTGTAATTCTAAAAATATAAATAAATGAAAATAATTCTACTATAGTTGGTGCTTTAATATAAAAAAACATAAAATTATATGTGACATTTGGTCTTGACCTTCTATAACAAGTCTCTTCAGCATCTTTGTGAGTCGATGGTGTCTTATTGGTTGCTATTTGTCTGGTTTTTGCATTCTTTATCCAACCTTTCTATAGCTTTCGATTCCAAATCGATTCCTGATTAAGCACTGTTTATCATAACCTTTGCATTTCTTTATGACTATAGTATACTAGGTCTACCTCACTGTAGGCTATCAAAACATATGAATCAAAGGGTTTTTCTTGTGGGCTCTTCTATGTTCACACAAGCTAGGTGAGTAATATATTGGAGTATATCGAGCTGTATGCGTATCACTTAATATGCTTTAAGGTAGATCATATATAGTTTATGACTGCAGCGTATACAGAATTGTGCTTCCTCACACGTGGGGCTCTCAATTTCCCGTTAAAGTTTTCTGACGAACAGTACTAAAAGGTTAGTCTTTTTGTTCAATACTCAAATTTTAAGTCCATGCGTGAATTTTACAAGAAGATCATCTTACACAGCGATGACATATAAGGATTTTATTAAGGATGCTCAGTTAAGTGAACGTTGAAATATACAAGATGTCCCGCTTATATTTCATTCATGCTTATAATAATATAATTATTAAATTAAAATTAAATTATTTAGGAAATTTTGTTTAAAATTGCACTCACATTCGATTAACCAATTTTTTTTTAATCGGAGTAAAGCTCGAAAAATACCCCTCGTCTGAACGGCAAGCTCCTTCAGGAAACAATAATAGGTAATACATCTGAAGGTCTAATATTCTAATTGTACGATCTCTGTTGTAATCGACACAATCATTTACTTTCTCTCATAATCAGTTTATATTGCAAGTATATCTATATTTTAACACGTGCAATTGCATTTTTTTGTTAAATAATACTTATCTATACTACTCGACTAAATTTTATTTTTGTTTGAAGATATCTAAAGAATTGATGTGCGTCAGGACTTCATCTGTGCGTCAGGATATAACATCTAATAATTGCCGTTAAGCTCATAAAAATTAAAAGCCAGATAAGACAATAAAAACATTATTTGAGTCTATTTTCATCGAAACTAGTAGTTTGAATATAGTTAGATATTCTTTGTATTTAGATTTAAATGCTCAGTTATTTAGAAGTCCACTTTGGTATTGACCTATAAGTGATGTTATTAAGATTTCGGGGGTGTATTTTAATTTTTGTCATATATTACTTTTTTATATAGATAATAAGGGCATTATATGAATTAAAATAACTCGACTGATTTAATTGGGACTTTAAAATTTATGCGCCTATAAATTTCTATTTAAAATATTTTTGAATTCTCTTACATATAATAAGTATTTCTGATTGTTCCCCCGTATTTTGCACCCCAATAAATGCATTTAAAAGCAATTGAAATTGTTAAGAATTTCGTGGCATATTAAACACCTTTTTCTATGAAATATACAAAAGGAATGCAAATAAAAACCACAGTTTTTAAAGCAATTCGAATTGTTCATTGAGATTAAAATACTTATAACTCCAAATTTGAAATGCTCGAAAATGAAAAAGTGCCAAAAGCAAAATTAATATTCACACTTGCGGTAGCAGAGAGCAGGAAACTCGGGATTCAGATTTTATAAAATATGCAACAATCTAAAATAGCAATAATAAATAAGGGTAAATTTTCAAAGCTGAACTGGAAACAAAAAACTGCATGCAACATGCAATTTTGTTGCAACGCTCTTCAAAGAAAACACAAGTGCACACTTGAGTTGCTTTTATTTAAGCCCCGAGCAACATTAATGAAAAATACATTAAAATAAGGGTGTTCACACCCCAAAGTACAATATGACCTGTTGATAAAGAATTATATTTTAAATGTAGCTCAGAAGTATTAAGTATGTCAAAAAGGATAAAATATTAAAAATTATTTGAGGGTAGCTTAATTAATATTATGCAAGTGCTGCACTCAATGTACTTACTAGCAGAAAAATACATAAAACTTTGATATTTATTTGATTCCAATATTTTATGTCCTCATTTTATAAGAATAAATGCGAATAAAAAAAAATTTCAATATATGTCTCTAAATATTAAGCAAATATTTGTATGTTCTATTCGCTTTGTTCCTTTTAAGTATAATATAGATGAAAGATATTTTTCTTACAACTTTCAGTTCAATTAAATACAAGTCAAATACTCTGTATTAAGTTCATCAACATAAAAAACTCACTCTATATAATTATGATCTAATAATGATCTTAATATTAAGTTCAAAATAATAGTTAGTTCATTGACTATAATCATTGACTGATTATAGATTTGATTATAGAATTTATAGATTTGTAATCGATATTCTCGAGATTTATAATAGGTAAAGCGCTATAACACGCTAGTACAGCGTGTAGTTAGCTTACTAATATATTATGAGTAAGTCAAAAATGGAGTGTTGAATATTCAATAAACAGATTCAGTTCTAAAGTTTTGCGGACTAAAATCTTATTTTGGGATTAGTTGATCTTCAATTAATACTGAAGATTTATAGTAGTAGAAAAAAATAGCTATAGGTAGGACATATTAATATTCAACATTTGACAATATCAAATTCTCTTCACTTAAATTAAAGATGTCTGTTTTGTAATATTCAACAGTAAATAATATTTTAACAACTTTTATGCATATGAAATTTTGGTTATTGGAAAATAAGATATAATAGGCATATATTAAGAAACAGGGTTTTGCGATCAATGCGAAATTGATGACATTCATCGAAAATGTTTTCTATTTAGAAACATAATTTGGTGTTATTGCTACACCTTTGTTATATTTCTACATATGTATATAGACTGAAATTTATATTAGAATAATGTTAATAACCTGGGTTATCTCATTAAGAGATTGATAAAATTTAATGAAAGCGATTTATTATCTGAATGTATCTAATGGATTTATCTCTATTTTTAAAACATTTTTTCATATTTCTACATTCAGGGATTCATTAACTAAATTTTTTGTTAAAAATAAATATATAAAAAAATTTAATTTTTCAATTAATTAAAATAGAATGAATTTTTGTTGTTGTAGTTCACTACTTTTCGAAAACCCTCTTTTAAAAAAATTCACTTAAGCGAATTATAACTGATTTTTAATCCAAATCAAGTATCGAAAATATATTGTATACTAAAACTGTGTAGCACTGATTTAAAAATAGATTAAAAAGCTAAGTTATCACATTGAGATACTGATGACATTTCGTTAAGATTTCGAATAATACCTACTGAAATAAGTGTTTTGAAATCCGTTTTATTGGTCAAATTGAATATGTCTACCTGATGTATATTGATATTATTAACGCAAGTTCTGACTTCTTCAACTATTTGACTTAATCTTATTAAAAAATATTTCCTTTTTAATACGTGATATAACTTCCAATTTTCCTTAAGAATTATATATTTATTTAGCGATCACTTTTTCAATGTATTGTCGTTCACACTTTCGTCCACTCTATGATTAGAATAAAATCAAATCTGGTAAACTCAGTTAAAAATTAAGTGACTGTGACTCGTTTGAAAATTGTATTCTAAATATATTTTTCATATATTAAAAATAAAACTTATATATATTTTTAAAAATTTTCTTGAAAATGTTTCATTTTACAATTTGAATGAAGTTGGTTCGAAATTTCTACTCCAGTGAGAATAAAATATTTTAAGCAAAATTTGATTAAAAATATTTTGGCATGCAATGGTCATAATTGAAAATTCATTTTAAAGTGCTACCTTCGCCATGTGTTGCACTTAGAAATAAATGTTGCACGATGATTGCAAACTCACACAACTTTGCCACCACCCGCTGTTGCAAGCACTTTTTGTGGCTGCCAATATTGCGAATCTGAAATTGCAAACAAAAAAAAAAGAGAATTTAATTTCAAATTTATATTTAAATTGAAATTATTTATAAAACGTATATTTTTTGTTGGCTTAAAAATAATTTAAAATATTGCAAATGCGTTGTTTATGGGCGAAATCGTATTAGCGGTAAGTGAACACACCTAATACTGCTTTATGGCGGATTTGTGCAGCCAATACACATGTGCTTAATTGCATTTATCGTTGTATTGTGTTTATCGTATTTACAATATTCAGATACTCAAATACCCAGATACTCGTAAATGCTAAAATAATAAAGTTAATTTCTATAAATCTATTTCAGGAATGCCAATATCAATTTAAAAATCGTCGCTGGAATTGCAGCACTACTGAGGATAACACAGTGTTCGGCCCGATGACTGGTTTGGGTAAGTTTCAAATTTATTAACTTAATTGAATTATTGAGTGAGTTTATACAATTACCAAGCCAATTTATTTACCTGTAATTTAAACACAAACATTTTATAAATTACACTAATCGATTTCAATTTCATTATCTAAACACTCAACCACCACCAACACCAACACCAACAGCAACACTGCCGTTGCATACTAGAACAAAGAATTGTGTGCTGGCAACTCCAACCAGCTCAGACTTAATTAAATGATGAATAATATTTTCTGTCTGCAAAGTTATACAAAATAATCAACAAAATCAGCATAATTGTTTACCTTTGTGTAAATGTATCTAACGTTGCTTGACTTCAAATAAATTTAAATACATAAGCACGTATAATGCCATTCTTATCTAAGCTATAAAATCAGACAACAAATACTACACCGGTTGTTGCCATACACAAATATTCTACAACGCACCATTCCTAATCTATTTATTGTCGGTGCTGTCGTAGGACTTCTCTTGCTTTCTCTAATAAATTTGTATCCTTTTTTTGAAAACTTTTTGTCTAAAGCTGCGCTTCTGTTAATAAAATTGATTTGACGCAAGTGACTGTTCTTCCTGTGAGATAAAACCTGATTTTATATTGTAGATAGTTTGGGTAAATTAATTAAAATGTTTTCCCATAGTATTAGTAGCAGGATTTCTTCAAAAGGACATTCGAGATTTTATTGAAAATTGTAAATTAAATTAAAGTTATTAATAGAACTTGTAAAATCTTCTTCTAGTAGTTCATACTTTTTCTCTTGATTTATTTTTAAATAAATTCAAAGTACTTACAGCTTGGATTATTTTAATGAAAAGATGATAATTAAATATTTGTCTTCATCAAGTAATTAAAATCTTTAACAATACTAACTTTCTTTAATTTTGCACAAAAATGGTGAAGAAAATTACATACGTAGTTCATAGAGTACATAGAGATATATATTTACACATATTAAATAAACTCAGTAAAATCTGAGATAGTATAATACAAATTTAATTAATCAAAAATAATTATTTAAATAAATTAAAATAATTAAAAGCTTAATATTTTTGTCAATTCACTTTAATAAGTACTTTTTATTCTTGTACATTTATCTTAATATTTAAGAAAGTATTTTTCTTTTATATTAAGAAATTAATTCATCTACAAAAATAAAGTGATTATCTAAATATCCTTGTTTGTTTGCAATTTATATTAACATAAAAATCTATTAACTTCTGTATAGCAATAAACAATATTTACAATTTAATAAAAAAAAAATAAAAGATAACGTTTGGCAGTTTAAACGGAATTGCTATGCAAGTTATAAGAATGCAATCTAAACGGATGAATCCTATTGAGTCATCTGTCATTTGGTGAACAAAGTTCTTTTTTATATCTAATTTCTTATTTTACAGTGCAGTAATAATAAGCATCACCAAATTAAGAACACAATCACAGACTTATCAAAAAAAATTTTGCAAACAGTCTTCCATTTAGAACTTATTTTTGTTTAAACGCAATGCAGTTTTTATATCAATAATAAATACCAGTTAAAACAGGGAACATTAATTCTACATGTATTGCAATCTAAAAACAAAGAACATTATAATCATTTATTAAACAAATTTAAATCAACATTGGTATAGAAATTATTTGTTTTTATATACTTAAATGCATATAAAGATAATGAGAATTATAAACTGTTAGTAAATGATGACACCAACCGGTTGACAATAGTACAATACTGATTTGGAGTGAATCTATAATGCGTTTTCTATATATATTGAAGAGGATAGCGTTAAATATCTCGGTATCACGCTGGACAAATGATTCACATGGCTACTGAAAAGAATTAGCTGTGCCAAAATTCTTCATCACCTCCAACCGCTATTCAGAAATGAAAATCTCAATGCTAAGAACAGGAAACTGATATATAACCAAATAATTCGACCGTCACTTCTATATGAATATGTAGCGATTAGCAAAGCCTCAAACACTACTATTCACCAGCCATGGTATATTAGGACGAATGACATCTTCAGGGACTTCAAGATTGATCTCATCAAAAAATACTTAAAGGATAGAGCCCTGAAATTATTTGTGAAAACTAACAGACTTACCAACACTGCGTTATCAAATCTCAGAATGGTTACAGGCTTCTCGGGGAGGTATGTAGATCTGAGGTCAATTATTGTTTAGTCTGATGAAGAGATAAACAATAATCCAGTCAAGGCGTAAAGAGGGGTTTTAAAAATATCTCAAGTTAAGAAATAGTAAAAGTGCTCAAGTGCACTGGCTCAAATAGAAATAAATAAATAATTGAGTATATTATATTATATATTGGGTATTTATTGCGTTTTATATTTCCTTATTTAGATACATACCTAAGTATTTATTGAAAAAATATAGTGCAGTAATAATACTTAAGTACAGCAATGAAATGTTAAAGTTTGCTAAATATATACATGATTCAAATTTATGTTTAAATAGAAAATTCAGTTATAAATACAAAGCATAACTCATTAAACTATGTTTTCTATCTTTAGTTTAGAAATTTAATGAAATACTGTTTTAAGTTTTGTATTTGAAATCTTCTTCTTACTGAAACATTTACTCATATGCGTTACTTATTCTTAGTCAAGAATTTACGTTTATTATATAGGATTAGAAAATATCTACAATGCATTGAGGTGTGATCAATTTAAAATATATGTATCTGACATTGCTATAGCATTTATCAGCTATATAGCATAATAGTTGAATTAGTGGTTAAAGTTATACCAGTATCTGCAATAAACATATTCAAGGCATTAACTGATTCAAATGGGGTAAATCAACCCCAGCTGCATTTTGTATTTTGTTTATGTATGTGCAAAATGTACTAAACTTTAACTAAAACTTTACTTTAAATTAAGCATAATTTAAGCGAAATGCAGTGTTGTGAAAACAAAACATTAAACGGAATTCAAATTAATTATTCAAACACTTACCCCAGTCACATAAACATAACCATTAAGGAAGATAAAATCAACAAAGATTGCAGGCAAATTCAAAATTATAGTACAGGAGTACAGGCGTTTGCTTGGCCAACTGAAAGACACACCGAGCAAATATTATACAACAATAACAAAGTGAAAATCTCAGTCATAACAAAAACAATAACAAAATAAAGAACAGAGAACAGAGAACAGAAAAGCGCAAATGTTACATTAAATAATAAAATTCGTATTTAACTCATTCGCATAACAATGGCACCGCACCGTACGTAAACGTTAAGTAAAGTTTACGTTTGAATTACTTAAAGCGCCGCAACTAATATTGTCTCTCCCATTACCCATTTCCCACCATCCAGTCGTGTACAGTTCGCTGTAGTATTTTGTCTCATCTCATATACCAGTCTAAAAGTGCCGCAGTTTAGAACACTTGTACGCTTCTTCTACAAGGAAGGACTCGACTCGTATGACTACCCCCGGTACATGACGTTTCCAACTATTGCTGTGCCAACTGCCAACTGGCAACTGGCAACTGGCATTGCTGTTACTGATATGCTCAAGTGGTTAGAGTGGATCCGTTTTGTATAATTTCCTACACTTCCACTTATTAGTAATGCACGCTTCGCTGACAAGGAATTAAATTTAAAGCGTATAAATCTAGGCGCGTTAAATGTTGTGCAAGGGAAATGTTCTTCCATATACTTATATGTTACTTCTCGGTTACCATGCGAGCAGGAGCGTTTACGTTTACGTTTACTTTTATCGTTGCAAGCATTACGTATAGTATTTTGTGGCATACTGAGATTTAAATAACTGCTACTCGTACCGATTTTCGCTCATTGTCTACTGCTGCCATATAATGTCAATGATACCTTTTGTTTTCTTTGTAATGAAAATAATCTCAAAAGGCCAACAAAAACATTTGGGAACTTATCTATTATTGCCATAGTACAGCGTTTAGTGTTATGCGAAGTAGAAAACGTAGGCGGGCGGAATGGGGACACCAGTGTGCAGACGATTTCCCTCTCAACCCAACCCAAGCCAAACGCTCAACGCTCAAAGGTTCAAATGTAATAAATGTGCGTAATACTAATTTAACAATTTGTTGCGGTTTTAAGTTATGATGCCGATTGCAATATTTATGCCTGCTCTCAAACCGAAAAGTGTGGTTGTATCTATGTGAGCCAGTGTCTGCATGTATGGGTTGATGGGAATAAATGCGGGTTTCGTTTTTTTCATTTTAGTCATTTAAGCTTTTCGATTGGTACCAGGGTGGATTTAGCAAATAAAACAAAAACCCCTTTTGTATGTGTTTATGATATTTTTTTGGATATGATTCGTTTCGCTCATAAAACTTGTCGCAAATTTTTTGGGTTATTTATATAGAAATTGTTTTTTATGGTTTGCATTTTCGTAATGTTTTGACAAAAAAGTATGGAATTTTTAATAATGTTTTGAAAAGGTTCAAGCAGATAAATATTATGCCAGAGTATCAGGAGTAGTAGTTTGGCAGAGTAGTAGTATGCCAGAGTATCATATCGGTTATCTTTTTTAAAGAGGAATTTAGAGATTTTTTTAATTGTTTTGAACATATGTGTATGTATATTAAAGATTATTTTTATATTTTAAAAAAGCACTCATCGCAAAAGTCTCAACATTTCACAATAAAAAATAAATTAATATAGCAGATTTGGTGTTTTATGATTAATTTTATGATTAACTTTATGATTAATATTTAGTACAAATGTGGTTTAAATTTCGAAAATTTAATAATTGTCAGGGTACTGGGTTATTCACATATTTGGAGACTCTGAAAGTAGACGTTAGTGTACGTCTATTTGTTGTTAGATTTTGAGATTTTATTTTATTATCTGTCCGTATATATGATCTTGGTGTTAGTGTAAAACAAAACATCTTTTGAATATTCCGTACACCAAATTTTAGTTTGCTTTTTTTGAGGTTATCTTTTTATAACATACCTGTCTATAATTCGTCCATAACATACAA